TTCTATATACATTATGGATACGAGCCCAAACGGTTAGGAGTTGAAAGTTGAAATTTGGTACACAGTTAGGGTACGTTAGGAGAACGCACACTAAGAAGGGATTTTTCGAAATTCCTCCCCACGGGGGAGAGGGACAGGATTAAAGCTTAACACTTCCATCAACAATGGAAGTGTTAAGTAACAATGGAAGTTCAAAGTAACAATAAAAGTTTTAAGTAACAACGGAAGTGTCAACAATGGAAATGTTACGTAACAATGGAATTGTTAAGAGAAAGCGACATGCCAGACGCATTTGCAGTTTTTTTCGTTTTTGCGGGAAATCGAACATATTTTTAGAACCATCTAAAAATTCTCTAATTAGTCTGGAAACAAGGGAACCCAATTCTTGCATTCTGTGAAAACAGGTAAGGTTGACTGTAATGTAATAATCTTTATCTTAGTTATTGTTACTTTTGCCCGAGCAATGCCGGGCCCACCTGCTAGTATATATATATATATGAAGTAAAACAGAAAATATTTTTAATTTATAAATTTGTTTAACTATATATATATTAATATTTTTGAAATAATATAAACTTAACTTACAACAAATAATGATGAAACAGGAGTAGTTGTATCTGCCGACCAAGATACTGAATCAGTCATCTATCAAAAATTATTATATATTTCAAATGTAATTATTTCAGCCAATAGAATTTAGTGAATAAAAAATAAGATACATTGATAATTATTTCAAACTTTAAACATTTAAGAATATTACATACAAATTTTAAAAAGTATTTAATAAAAGTAAAAGTTTATTTTTAAATTTTTTAATAACTGAAAATGCAATAATTATTTTTATTCTCAATTATTAAATATAATTGTGTTTTTCTCATAGTAAATATATTAAATATATAACTGTAAAAATTATTTTTCATTTGCAATGTATATAAAATAAAAATAAGAATTTAATATATATAAAAATCCATAAAATAATATGTATATAAATAGCCATTAATAACATATATTAACATTAGTGTTATAAAATGTATTAAGCATTTAACAGTAGTATTATAATTTTTTAAAAAATTTTATTTTAATATAAATATCACTCATTTAACATACTGCAGCTAACTTTATATGAGCTGCTCACTTGCCAAACTGATTAAATCCTCAAAACAAAAAGTAGAGAAATTGATATACATTATTTTTTAAAATTTAAATAAACATTGTAGAATGTATTTTTGTGCCATTACTAAGGCAACCCTAAAACAGATAAAGCAATATTTGAATCTGACCATGGGTTGCTGAAACCATGAAATGAGTGCGTACCATACTATTTCCAGTTATTATACAAAAGTAATTAAGCAATAAAGAAGAATAAAGCAGAAATTTTTGAATAAAACCAGGATAAAGCAGAATTAAGGAACTTTGTCACAGTTGCTATATTTTTCCTTGCAGCCCAAACTCCCACACTTTGTCTCTCTGAACTTATTGACAACCATAACAACTTGTTGGCAAGATAAGTTTTTTGAAGGCTGTAGCAGTGTAGGCTGTAGTGACACCTATGTCCAAATATGCCAAAAATAGAGACTTTTTCCTCACTTTTATATATCCATATGAAAATACAATACAGGTACTCTTCACTTTATGACCGAGTTTCGTTCCTATGACTACATCATTAAGCGAATTGGTCAATAAGCGAGGAACTTGGAGCATAGGATCGTTGTAAAATTATAAAAATTATGTAACAAACTTCAAATTCATTCATAAAAAGACATGCATACGTACATATTATCATTTGTTTATTTGGTTATCTGGATCTATAGAGATTTTTTTCCCAGGTAAAGGAGATGATGACAATGAAATAAAAGTTGTACCTTCAAGGGCGGAGGTCTTGGATGTAACAGTCGATAAGAAACTCGTAAGGGTGCTTTGCATTGTACTCTTTTTTTCTTGATAAATTTCTCTATAGCACTTCAAAAGTTCACTCATCCCATGTTCAACTTTATGTTAAAACATTCAGTATTAGGATCCATAGCCTCAAGTTCCAACAAAGTCACGTTAATTTTGGAGAACACACCAGCTAACCCATGTACCGTGAATTTCTTTTTCACTTCTTCAGTTCTTTCGTCTTCTTCCTCTTCCAAATACTGCATCACTTCTAACTCTATTAAAACTTCATTTGTTAGCTCTCCATTGGCATAATCCACTAATTCAGCAATGTCTTCCACTTCAACATCTAAATTATTTTTTCTATTAAGCTTACATTACTTTTGTGCGCCCTCTGATGGTATCATTTTTAAATATTAAAAACTTCATCTTCATACCTTATAAAAATGTAATCATTTCCTTTCAGAAAAATTGCAGTGTTTTTTGTATTTAATGTTAAATAGAAATTTATTGTTTTTGTTAAATAAAATATTTGTTTATTTTTAAATTTTTACTTTGGATAATTTGGTATTTTTTATTTGCTCAATTAAGTAACAAAATAAACTAGCAACCTTTTAAAATTTTGGTAGCAAAAAAGTGACTTTTCATTTCAAACAGTTGGCAATATAGCTCCCATATCCCTAACATCTGGTAACTATTAGTTATATCTGATATATTGCTGTAGAAGATTTGAATAAACCAAATTTCTAAGTGTATTTCATTGTATCTTAAGATAATGCCAAGATACCGGTTACAGCAGCTCTTCAATTATGTGAATTTTCTGATGAAGGGTTTGTGGTGGAGTTTGAAATTTGCTCTGTGAGTACTTCAATACTATGGTCAGCTACAAAAAGTCCACTCTGAATACACATATTGTAAGTGTAAAAATTGCAAGGGCAAGAGTAGTAGCAGCAATCAAAGAAACTTGCTGTTTACTAGTAAACCTTCAAGATGGCAAAACATGGTTTCCATATTCTGTTCTGCAAAAATACTCTTGTACATTTTCCATCATGAAGGGTTTGAAAGTGGATGAAGTATAATTTAAAACTATCTCTGAGTAAAAACTTGCCTATGAAAGCACCTTGACCAGGATTCTTCCTAAAGATGGAAAAAAAGATTTAGACAGTAATGCACAAATGTGTCAAAGTGCTGATGTTCTGCTGATACTAGATGAATTGGTTGATGTGAAAGTTGTAAATACATTGGTTGTGTGTCTTGAACCTATGAACCACCCTGTCTAGTGTGATTGCAGATTGTAGAGAAGTATAACAGTGATATCATTGTCAAAGAAGTGTTTGCATCTCTTGAACTTTTGATATTGAGTTAGATACTTTTATTGGATTTTTGGCAGATTTGGATTTATAACACTCTGTATATGTAAACAAGATTGTTCTACATGACATGCTGAGCACACATTACACATTTAGTTGCAGAAGAGGTGTGCACTAAGTACAGCATCCTGAACCATTTCATCTCTGAGATAAAGACAGCTCTAGTGAAGGCAGCAAACAGAAGAAATTTTTTGCAGATAGCTCTATCTGCTAAGGACCATTCTTTAGAACTTCCACCTGTACCAGTTATACTCAATGGAAGACATGGCTAAATGCAGTTTTGTACTACTGTAAGAGGTGGGACACTAGTGACATGGATTAGAAAAAATCAGACTATGAAAGGAGCTGCATTGCAAGGGTTCAGCGAGTTACTTGATCATTTCCAACTTAAAAAGCGGCTACACGCAGTTGCAAACCAAGCTGAAGCCTCATGGACCTTAATCAAGAAAATGGAATCATAGCCTGGATCCAAATCCACTGTTGTAGGAAGTGATATTTAGTGAATTCTAAGGCATTCAGGAACTGTTGGTATCACTCAGTATGTGTTTAAAGTTCCAACTTTATCTACATGGCAAATTCAGCATGACAGTTCTGGAAAGAGCTTGGAAGTCACAGATCCAAATCATAACCAAGCAATGCACAGCATACCTTCTCAATTATGCAAATTCTCCAAGAAAAAAGTACCAAAGGAAGAGATAACATACTTCAATGCTTTGATCAACAATGAAAACAGAGCAGTGTGCAATGATATAATAAATTTATAGAAGTGATTTATCAGGGAAATGACGATTTTGAATCAGCTGGCATTAAAAATTCTGTCAGTTCCTGCTTTTTGAGAGGAGAAGAATTTTTTCTACCTTAAGCCATCTTCTCACACCAAAGAGATCATTTACTGAGGAAAATTTGGACATTCATATTCACTTCCTGTTCAACTTGGCTGATCTATTGGACTCAGATGGAGAGATACAGTAAAATTAGTATTGAGAATCAGAAAAATTAATAAAAATGCAAATAAAATTGTGTGCTGAAAGCAAGTGTAATTTAAAAAAAGAATATATTAGGCAAAACAAAGCAGAAAATTTCTGTCAAAGTGAAATACAAAAATTTATATTTTTTAAAAATAAAGCAATTGTAGGTTGCCTTAGTCATTACATAAAATTGGTTGTATAAAAAATATAATAATAATAATTCCAAATATATACTAATGGAATTAATCAATGTAGCCTGTAAACAGCTCATATGTAAAAAAATCATAATTTCATCCATGTTTAAAGTTACTTACAGTATGTTAAGTAATACAAAAAGTTATGTTGCTAGTTTATCTTGATGATATTGCTAGTGGCATCATGATGTGTTATTAGTCAGTAAAGAACTGTGATAGCTTCACTTTTGACCAAATTATTTAGTATGTAATAATCACAATATAAAGNCTCTCCAATATGCCTGAGAGGTATTTAAAGGAGGCTGAAACTTGTAAACTCTTTCTCTGCTTAAAAAGCATTAGAATACGGAAATCAGGTCGAGGACGCATTTTGAAAGGATTTATTTGTTCTTATTCTTAACCGCATTTATCCGTTTATAGATCTGTATTTTCTAGATTTAGTTTATAATAAATTTTATATTTTGTTTACGTTAAAACCTGTCTTTCGTTTGTCCACGGATCCCTGACGACTTACCGACACACTACCCACTTGATTTGCCCTCCTAGCCATCCAACAACCTCGAGATCGAGTTTTACCAGCCTGTGCAGATTAAGTGGTCAGAAGGGATTAATCCCTGACCCCCTGCTTATCTCACATAAGCAATAATGATTCTGGTTATTTCACTTCTGGATTCTTGACATTTTTCTATTACATTTATGATTATATATTTTGATAAACATACTTACCAAACGAAATGATGCATCCAATGGCCATTTATCAAACGTATGACGAAGAAATGTGTACAATCTTTTCTGTACAAACTGTTGTAAAACTGTGCTATAAAAATTTTCCATTATTAAAATAATAAATCAATGTTTTATATCTAATACATATAATAAATCTATTTGAAATTATAGTTATTCTGGCTAATCCAAACTAATTTTGTTTTTATGCTAAATATTCCAGTTAAAAATAAAAACAACCACAGATTATTTTTAAAAAACATGATGAATTTATAAAATTAAATTAAATTAATTAATAATACATACTACACATTTTAACATAAATAAATGCACCAAATATAACAACATTTTTAAAAATATATGCATTTGTTTGTAGTCCTATTCAACACTAGAACACCCAAACATAGCCTACTCCCAACAACACTTGAGTGATCAATTTTGTTTTTGGCCATTTTATAACATTAAATGTTACTATTTCATGTTTTTTAACTTGTTTTAATGCACTGTAATTATAATTTTAAGTTTATTAATTATGAATGTCTATAGATGAAAATTTTTTTAAGATAAATATGTCTTTTCACATGTTACAGGGAAGGGTCCTGATATATTATACAGATTATTTTGTGATTAGGAATGTGTCATGTATGAACTTCTTGCACGCAAATCAAGTTACTTTTGTCTTTTCTTTGCAAAGTCCAATTTTGCAAGTCTTTAGTTGGCAGCTTTGGATATAGCTGCATCACTACTATCTAGCAGGAATGATGGAGATATTGGATGTGAAGTCACAAATTCTTATAAGACACAACTAACTCTTAAAAAGTTTTCATCATGAAAGACCATCAAGAGATCTTGGATCCAATTATGATCTTGAACAATGTACTACTGTATGTGAAATGATCATAGCCAGATCTAGAATGTTATAGAAAACGTGTATGGATCAGTGCCTTATCATTGGTCTAGCACTGTACTATACCTTTGAATCATTTGATCTATTACTATACCACATTTGGTTTCATTATATTAATAAAAGCTGACTGACTGACTGATAGGTGTTTTCTTCTTTTCTTCCTCATTGATCATTACATTTGAATGCATACTGCTAAGAATATGCAAATTATTTTTGATTTTTTCTTAGTAAGAGTAATATCCTCTATCTTGTAAATAACAGCAGAATGAGAGTTCTTGTAGCTTTTTTTATAAAGGATAGGACTTCCTTCAAGCTTTATTCAAACTACCAACAATACCTGTATTTTTTTTTTCTTCCAGTTATCTTGCCAGCTTGAGTGATATGAAGAAATCATCTGATATGACATTTTGTCCCATGTTTAGGAAAGGTTCCATAAAGCAAAGAGTATCGTGATAATTTAAATCAACCAAATCAAATAAAATTTAAAAGATAAAATGAGATCTGCAGATCTCATTTTATCTTTTCAATTCTATTTGATTTGTACATCTTATTTTATCAGTCAGACTCAGAATTGCACTCTTGATCTGACTATTCACCTCCATACTGAGTTCAAGATATATCTTGCTCAGCTTTCAGAATTTTATCTCCAGTAATATTATGCTTGGGCAAAGGATACATAAGCAATGATCTATAAAATATCAAATGCAACCCAACTCAAACAGACATGACACTATGTACAAGGAAACTTTACAAAAACTGCAAGTTTAGATCTGGCAGCTATGCCCCTCAAAACTGGTGATGCAGCAGTTATCATAAATACTATACTTCTTTAAGTTATAAGTGATAAATTACTGAACTTTTATCATTAAAAGTACATGAAAATCTTGTTAAAGAAGGGGTGGTCATTTGACCTCTGCCGAGCACCAACGGTAAATTCGGTGTTATCTTAAAAACTTTATCCTGGAAAACAATGATTTCTAGTCAAAAATAACTTTCCCTAAAACAATTAAGTCATAAAATCTCAGAATGATACTAACAAAAACAGAAGCACAAGTTTCCTAAAATTACATTTTTATAACTTAAGTACTGAATTACACATTTAAAAAAAATCTATTTCTATCTATTAGTACATGTTCTGACCTCAAAAGACCAATTTTTGAGAAGTTCTATACTTTTGTGGAGCATTTTATAAACTACTACTATACTTTTCATCTTGTATACCACCATTGTACAAAAACAGAAAATAAATTTTACATTTTTATAATAATAAAATATTAGATGAAACATAATTATGTTTTCAAAAGATTTAAATTGCACTACATAAATAATTACCATTTTAATATTTCCATTCCATTCATTTGTTCATAAGCATATCCACTAGTTGAATTAATTGGTCTAGCACTGTTAGCAAAATAATGAAGATATTTAACGAAATTTCTAACCATTTGCATATGATCATGAGATGGTATAGGATGTTCCTAAATAAAGAACAGAATATACTTCTTGAAAAAAAAAGTTAAATAAAAAAATAATTTATTTATCTATTATTGAAGTTAAAATATTTCAATACTAAGTATTTTGAATTTACAGTATATTATATATATATATACAGTAAAATCTCGCTAGTCTGAACACCACTAATCCGAATGTCCACCTAATCTGAACATGTTTCAGTCAGCAGAGGAAATTTTCTCTAACAAGAGGTCCAATTAAGGGTGCTCCCTTTTCTCTTTCCAGAGTGACAGAGTGAACCACATGAATAAGGCTTCATCAAGCTTGTTGAATGTTGAGGGCCTTCCAGTTTGTCAATTTTCAACTGATTTTTTTGAAGTAGAGGCACAAAACTGCTTGATCTTTGTGTGTTTTTTTCCAGTTGGTTATTGTGGCCTTGTTCACTCCAAACTCTACTACCAATTTCATTGCATTTTCACCCTTGTCCAGCCTTTTCAAAATGTCCAGCTTATCTTTCAACGTAAACATTGTATGTTTCTGTTTCATGGCCATTGCAGCAACAGACTAAACTAAACTAAAATAATATAGAGCAAAGAGTTTTCAACATCCACAATTAAGCATGCTAACTCATACAGTAGCATCAGTCAACTGATTGGAATCCTGGACTGTGTATTAAAAACAATATTCTTTACAATTAAAAATTTTTAAGGTAAACAATGAAAGCAGGTTGCCATTTCAAAATTACAAAACTTGTTTTTGTTAACTGTTTGCACCCTCTATTGAGTACAAGTCAGATGAAATAAATGGTGGGGCACTGTCGTCATTAATGATGTTGGATCTATATAAACCAGACTTGTTTTACTGCTTACTTCTGCATTATTTCAATTACAGTAGAACCTCGATTATCCAGACTAATTGGGGATAAAGGTAGTCTGGATAAGGAAAAATTCGGATAATCGAAACAAATACTTTAATTTGTCTTTTAATGATAATACAACACATTTTCTTTTCAATGACATATGGGTAATATTAAAAATAAATACTTTATTTAAATCGTGATCAAATTTTCAAGAAACAAACGTTTGTATTGAATTTGGACTACTACTAACCGGCGCTAACAGACTACCTATTGTTTAAAAGGCCCTCTGGTGG